TAAATTTAAATATTCATATTAAATTTTAAAAAAAATTTTTTTATTATAGATATATTAGTGTATCAACCTTTTTGCACCGGACCATAGTTTTGATATTATTAGATTAAAATGTATTAAGATCTTAATTTTAGTCAAAAAAATTTTCAAAACCTGATATTCCTAGCAAACTTCTCATATATTCATTGTTTCATAAAAACCTTTTAATTTTAGTTGCATTTTTCTTTTTTAGTCTTAAAAAGAAATTGGACTTATTATTATTATTTTTATTTTTAAAAAGAATATAAATAAATAAATCTAGAGTTTAGGTAGTTTTTTTTTACAATTCTAATTTTTACTTGTTTATTTAAAAAATGCTTTTCGTAAAAGAAATCTATAAAGCATAGAAAAATAGAAAATTTTTTTCTTTTTTTATATTATTCAAGCTTGTCAAAACCGATCTACATTTTTGATTGGTCGCAAAGTCAAATTTTATTGGTCGTTAAATCGAACTAAAAAAATATTTGGCAGTACCCCTCTTTTATTACAACGTTTAATGATAATATTCAAATGAATTTTTGATATTTTTTTATTTTTGCAAATGAAACCCTAATCGTCAACTTTTTTTATCGAGAGTAATGAGAACGAATTTTGAAATTTTAGTGCGATTTTGGCGCAGTATAAAAAAAGTTTTTGAATGTTTTTTTTTGTCGTTACACTGTGCAAAATTGATCACTGAAGTGTTACAGCATAATATATAAATACTTTTTTCGTTTTATATTTACGAAATTTCACAAGCATTATGGTGAGTCCGTTTTATTTTTTCTGGTTTAATGATTTTTATTCATTTTATTATATTAGATCATAATCAGTAATAATCTTTAATTTATATTTATATAGGCAACCGAAGAAGAAAAAAAAAGTTAGAAATTTTCCTTAATGATAATTTTGTTTAAAAAAAAAAATAAAAATAAAATAATTTTTATCTGATTATATTTTATTATAGAGTATTATAGAGACTTCAAGCTTTTCGATAAAGAAGGTAATGATACAATTCCTAGTGAAAAACTAGGTGATTTGTTACGTGCTTTAGGTCAAAATCCAACAAATGCTGAAGTAGAAGAACTTGCTAAAGGAGAAGGTTCAAAAAGTAAGTAATTTAATTAATTCGTTGTTTTTTTTTGTTTAAAAGATTAAATAGGAAAAGTCAATTTAAAATGTATCGAAAATATCAAAAAAAATTTATTTTCTTAGTTAGTTTTGATAATTTTCTGAAAATACTTTTGCGCCCTGACGGATTTGCAGCTGCCGGAACTTATGAAGAATTTGTTGAAGGATTTCAAGTTTTTGATAAGGACCGGACTGGATATATAACAGCTGGAGATTTAAAATATGGTTTGTAAAAGCAAATATATAACAAATATAAAATGATGTATATATTAATCAAAATTCATTTATTATGTTATAGTATTAACTAGTTTAGGTGAAAAGCTTTCTGAGGACGATGTAGATGAATTACTGAAAACTTATGCTGATAAAGATGGGAAAATTAAATATGAAGGTAATAAATATATAATAATTACAACACTTTATAAATCTATTGTGTCGTGTTTTGCTAATTTAATATCAAATGATGTTTTTAGATTTTATAAAAGGAATTCTATCCACTTAAAAATATTTAATCTAAGAGTTAATTTTAAAATTCACCATGTATTACATTAGATTAATACACATAATATTTCTATGTGTTGTAACAAATAAATAAATAAATATTTATTTAATTTATGGATCCATCGAATAATCTATTAACCAAATTCTCCAAAGATTGTGGATCATATTTGATATATTTTGTAGGATTTTTGGAAAATTCTGATTGTTGATGTTTTTCTAAGAAACGAATGTACATTGGCATTAAAACCATCTTGATATCTTTAATAACCTGTGAACGTAATTCAAGATCAGGTATAGCATATCCCTTATGTACTTTGTACATTTCTTCAAATTCTGTGTTGAAATTCTACGAAATTAAAATTGTAAATTTTTAATAAAATTTGTTTAGAAAAAAAAATATATATCTATATATAATATTTTTATATTTTTTAACATTTCGGTACCTTGAATTTTTCTTTAACATTTCCTTTTTCGTTGGATAATGCGGTCTTTAATGTCCCACCTCGAACCACTGAATCCATGAGGTTTGCAAAACACGGCTTCCATCTAGTTCACAAATATACAATTGACTTCTAAATTGATTGAATATATTCAATGTGAAAAGACTCATCTTAAATAAATAACATACGTATCCAGATATCCATCATTATATCTTTTCACCATTTTCTCGTATTTATATCCAATCTCTTCTAAAATTGAGAAAAATTGTGTCCTTATGCTTTTCAAAACATAATGATAATTATTTAATAAGAAAATGCATGTCAAAGCAGTCTTCTTATATGATTTTGCTTTGAAATCTAATGTGATGGTCAAGCTTTCCAGAACATCAGCTGTACAGTTTAATATTATATAATAAGTTAAAATCCTAAAAAAAAAATTTTTTTTTTTATAAAAAATTACAAAATATCAAAATAAATATACCAAAATAATGTTGCAAAATAGCATTTGCAGACATGCCACGTACTGTTCTATCTCGTGAAAAATTAGGTTCTTTCTCTGAAACATTCCAATTACCATCTCCTAAAGTCAATAACATGGTCTCAACTATTTCCTGATAATCAGTTAATCGCTTTAGGTGTTGTAAAGTCTTTTAAATGAATAAAAATATACACGTTGTAAAAAATTCTAACTTGTTTGCAATAAATATATAATTCGTTAAACAAGTGAAAAATCGCAACATACTGTACTTGTCAACTCATGAACGGTACCGTCATTTGGAAGATTTGTCGTTTTTGTACGGTGATTCTATAGAAATATTTATTAATTAAATTAATTAAAATAAATTTTTTTTTTAAAAAAAAAAGTATTTTTAATTTACTTTAATTTCATCTATAAATTCTGGGAATGAACGAAGTGCGGCTGCTCTCAATGAATGCAAAAGATCGCCATAAGATGAATCTTTTTTTCCTGCAAGCTGATTTTAAGATATCAGTTTTATTAATAAACATAAAGAGAAATAGAATACATAAAATTGTCTTAAATACCCTAAAAACTTCCTCAAACGAGCCACTATTTTTATTCAATGACTCCATCATATCAAAAGCCAAAAACACGTCCGTCTGCATATTTTTTTTCACACGATTATTTAATGTTCTACCAGTTTCAATATAATTATCTAATGGCATTTGTATAGCACCTCTGAATCCAGACATAACGCTTCCTGGGGGAAGTATTTTATCGGCTATTTCATATTCAGTCTAGTTTATTTAATTTAATTAAATAAATTAGACTTAAATCAAATTATAAGAGGAAACGAATAATATGCTTGCTTATAATACCTTGAACATTCTTAATATAGCATCAGTATATGAGTTAAACCCACAAGTTCCTTTTTCATATACTAGGGTACTTCTTTTTTCCGCGGTGCTAATAGAACCTTGTGCTAACAAATTTAATGACTTTGCTAGATAATTTGATCGTACTTCAATATATGCTTTTACAAAATCACTATTGTAGCCTAGTTCTGGACCAGAAGTTGCAAGGTATGAAGATAATGTCGCAAGGTTTTGCAAAGGACCATTTGGTATTCCAGGGATATCAAGATCTGAAGATATTTATTAATTAAGATAATTTAAATAATAAAATTATAAAAATTTTTTAAATTTACTTTTTGTTATATAAGAAAGTGGTTCAATTGTGTTGCTTCTGTTTGTTAAACATAAGCGAAAATGTTCCTCCAATTGTAACATGCCAGCTTTTAAAATTTGTTTCTATAATCGAAAATAATTTCAGCAAATATTGAATAAACACTAAATATTCTATTTATTAATAAAGTTGTTTCATACCAACTGTCCAATAACTTTTTCACTACTCTTTAGTCTCATTCCACCCAAAACTTCCATTGCTTTTTTACATTTTCCAATAGAATTTAAATAACATTCTAATTCACTTTCATTTATTCTAAATATAAATAAATATAAATATCAGAAATTCAATAAACAATGTTACAAAAATTATATTAGCACAAACCCTTTTTTTATTGTCATTTCCTCTCTTTCCACTAGATCAAAAAATCCAATGATCTCCAGAACTCCATTACGCGTCTTGTCAATATCTAAAAAAATACTGATATTAAAATTCATGTTGAATTGATTGAATATTAATAAAGATTGAAAGATTCTTACTATCTTCCAACTTAGTTAATGTCTGTGTCGACTTATGAATTGGTAGGATCGATGCTTCCAATCTCACTAAGCGATCATCAAATACATTAAGCATGCCGGTCTAAAAAAAAAAAGTCTAAGTGGCTTATTAAAAATTTACAATAAAAAAAAAGGTTATGAACGAACCATCTTTTCTGTCAAAGCTTCGGTCTTTTTCAGATTTTCTTCAAGAAAATCAAGATCCGCACTTTCTTCATCAAGCCTGTCCATGTTGAATTTGATTATGTTAAACCAAAAAATTACAGGTATTAAGATCGATTATAACTAATTAGTTCAATCCGAAAAATGGGGCACACTAATTTAGCCCCCCAGTCTCTGATTGGATGGTATAATTGATTATACTTATTTGTAACGTCCCATCGAAAAACATTTCAATTCTATTAAAAATATAATAAAAATTGAAACATCACCAGTATCACGCCGGTGACAAATCACCTAATACCTAACCTCCTAACCCTAACCCTAACCCTAACTAATCTCAATTATACCAGCTAATTATAAAGTAGATGGTAATTAGTAAATCCATAATTAAGCATAAATTTGATTGATCAGATTGATCTTATCAAATATAATTGGTTTTACAGTATATGACAATTATATTATAATGTACTTTGATTACAAAAAAATTTATAATTGATATTTTCGGCAAAATTTTATGAATTTATAATAAATTACTCTAAATTCTATTGGCTAACTGATCTAAAAAGAAACAAATCATAATAATGTAGTGTAATATTTCCATTTTGGGGTTTAATTTATCTATTTATAGTAAGATTTTAAAAATAATTTTATGATTTTTTTACTCATAAGCTTGTCAAACATATCAATTATAGTTTTGAGGATTCTGTTACAAATACTTTTAGATAAAGATGAAGATGAAGAAAAAGAAAGTTTAAGTAAAGAAGAAGATTAAATAATTTATGAATGGTTTTAATATGAAGAATTTCTTATTATTAATATTTGGATTTTATTATAAGATATATACATAGTTTTAAATATTATGTATTTAATTATCCTTTATATGATTCTAATTGATTTAAAAAATTCTTAAAAATATTCCTTTACAATTTTAAACATTAGCTAATCTAATACATTCTTATTTCATATTTTTATTATAAGAAATGAAGTTTTAAATTTATATTAAACTTCAATTAACTATATTTTTTTGTAGACTTAAATTTATTAAAAGTTTATTTAAAGTTTATTTACATTTTAGAATAGGAGAAGAAATAGTAATTCTTTATATTAAATAAATTATTCAAGTAATTATGGTGTAAAAAAAACTTTTGTTAAATACCTTACTTTAAAAAATGTAAAAAGTTTATAAGGATTTAAAAATTTAAGAAAATTAAAAATGTAATTAGTATAGTAGATAGAATATATATTATTAAGAAAAATATATCAATAAAGATCTAGAATTTTATTTTACAAAAAGAAACATTTTGCTATTCATTATTAAGATATTGTAAATGATAAGAAAATTTTTATTAATTTTAATATAGGCTAGCCTAATTTTATAGATAATCACTATAAAATTCTTTAATTTAGGTTAATTATATTCTTTAGTTTCTACTTAAGGTTACTAACTGCATTTAAGATATTAAGATCTACTTAACTCTTAACTTTATTAAATTTACATATTAAATTTTAATAAATTCGTTAAGTATAAAGATTTGAAAAATAAGATTGCAAATAAATTTAATTAAAGAATTTAAATAATGAATTCAATTACAAATAATATATAAGGATTACATCAGATTATATAAAGATATAAAGAGACAGAAAGATATAAATTTTCATTAATTTCTTTATTAATATTAAAACTTATATATTTATAAATTTATAAAAGAGTTTTAAAACTTATAAAAGAATTAATTTATAATATAAGCAAAATGTTTATCTATTTATATAAAATTTCTTTTGTTACAGCTAAACACTATACTATAAATTAATTAATTTGACAAATAAGATATAAGTAAACTAAATATACTAAAAATAATAAAATATTAAAAATAATAATAAAGTAAAATATTAAGAATATGTATAAAATTGAATATCTCTAGACTTTGTTTAATTTGTAAATTAGGATTATCATCAGTATTTAAAAAATCAGCAGAATTACATAAATCTTTAGTATTTTCAGAATTCTAGATTAAAAAATTATTATATAACATTATTTATGTGATTTTATTATTATTGATCAATTGCTTTACTGATAATCTTATACTAGGATTTTTAGAAATTCTTTTTTTTACAAAATTATTTTTATTTTATTTAAAAAAATAATTATTTTTGAATAATTTAACTTATTTTATTTTACCTTTTTTAATTTTACATTTTAAAATTTTAAATTCTCAAAAACAAAAAATTTTAATTGTTTTTATTTATTTTATCAAATTATAGTAAAAATACTTTTTGAAGATTAAAAACAAGATTTAAAATATTAAGAAATCTAGATATTAAAACAGTTAAAATGAAAATTTTATTTATATAGAAATTGCTAAAAGTCTTTAAATATCACTTTTAAGTATGATTCAATATCAAAAATTTAATATAATTTAGCAATTTTGTGATCTTATGATGTTTTGAATCTTATTTACATGAATCGTACTTTAAAAATGTATTTCAAAATGATGATGGTAGTTTTTAGAAGGATATTTCTCAGTTTCATAATATGAAGTAGATAAAGAATTTTTAAGTAGAAAATAATATGCACATTCTTTCATGAGCTGCTTAAATTCAAACATCAGCCTGATTAAAAATCTGTGAGCTGATGTCAAAAAAAGTATCTGTGAAAGGAAAAAAAATGCTTTCTAATATTATTGAACTAGAGCGACATATTAAGAAGTTAGAGAGAAATTTTATACTTACTATCAAAAATTTGTTGATAATATATCATAACAAATTCAATCTGTAATTGAAGCAAATAAAGATCTGATCAAATACTAATTAATTAGTACAAAATTTATTTTATATATTATTTTTAATAAATATTTAATAAATTTTTTAATTAAATTTTAAAAATTTTAAATGATTTATTAAGCCAAAAAGCATTCAGAGACTCTTAGCAAACCTCTGTATATTGCATAATAATTTTACATAATTTCTTAAAAATTAATATAAATATTTAAGATATTAATGATATCCCTTTAAGCGTTTTGCAGGCAAATTTGCCTGCAATTTTATTTAATAATTAAAATTATTTATAATATTTTTAAAGATT